AAGAAAAGAAAAGAAAAGAAAAGAAAAGAAAAGAAAAGCCTGTGAAGCAGAGGCGGGAGGAGGCCCCAAGCACATACCTAGGGGAGGATCAGCCAACTGGAGCCGCCTGGGAGCGCACCGGGGCTAAGCCTGGGATGCAGTGATGGATCCTTTAGTTACGCAGAGTCCCCTTTTGTTCCAGGAACAATTTAGAAACGAACAAACATGCAAACAAAAAGAAGAAGCCACCCCTCACCCTGCCCTGGCCCTCCCACACCCCGCTCCCCGGTACTGGTCCCCCCTAGCATGGCACTATGACACCCCCGGCTGGGGCAGCACCCCAACACGTGTGTGTGTGTATGTGCATGTGTGTGCACATCTGGGCAAGGCACTCCCTCCCCACAGCACAGCCCCCAAAGCCTGGGAGGTGACCGGGCAGCGGGACGGATGCAATGCTGTTACACAGACACCTCACTGCTGAGCAGGTTATTTCCAGGCTGCTCCAATCTGTGGCAGCACTGACCCCAAAGGTGCTCCCGGACAGAAGTGCGTGTCCCCGTGCTCGCTCCTTGGGATGCACAGGTAACTGCCTTCATATGCAGCACCGACATTTCTGCCAGGAAAGTGGAAATGCTGCTGCGAGCATTCCCTGCCCTGCTGGAAATGGAAAGACACCGCTCAGTTTGTTGGCTGGAAAACTTTTCTTCGTCGTGGTGCAAAAGCACCACTTCCAGCGAACTTCTGCTCTGGTTTCGATTGCCTCCGTGCAATGCATTGCAGGAGAAAAAGCAAAGCAAAGCACATCCACAGGGCTCCAGTGTGAACAGGGGGGAGGCAGTGCTATCCCCGTCCCCCTCCCCACACTGTGACCACAGAGCGGCACCCCTCTGCTGCATCACAGGACACTGATTTAAAAGAGGGAACTCGGGAAACAAAAAGGAAATTAAAAATACACATTTTTTAAAAGTTGGAACAGAGCGTAGATAGAAAATGAGTGTTTTGGAGTGATAAGATCAAGTGCATTGGGACACTGAGATGCTGTCATGCTGTGCCGGCTCGTGTTGACCCTGCTGGGGCTGAGGCTGCCTCCAGCCCTACACAGGGCCCACTAAGCCCCGGCCCTTTGCTTTGCACTTGCAAAGTTAAGTCACATCCTGGGCTATTTTTACACCGTGCTGGCTTTGAGCTCACCAATCTGAATGCTCTTCGCCCTCCAAGAATGACAAACGCTATTCTCAGTCCTCCCCCACAATTTCAGGCAGGCAAGAATGAAAAGCGGCGAGGTGTGCGGGGCTTTAATCCATTGATTTTTATCTGCTGAGCTCCCCAGAATTCATCAGTTAAGCAGCATTCACACAGCGCTCAAATTCTCCCTCTCCAAAAGCCGCTCAGCTCTGTGCATCCTGGTGTGCAATGCAGGAGCGGAGGCACTGCAATTAGGACTGGGTCTTGTCCCAGCCAAGCAAGCATGGCACTCGCCATAGCTGCAACAGACGGGCCCTTCACAACCCCACCTCTGTGATTCTGAAAGAGCGAAGAAAGTTTGCTAAAAACCTGAGCTCCCAGCACCTTGTCACGTTGCTTTTTTTTTCTCCCTCTCCTGTGTGAAATGTTCAGTCCGTCCGTCGGAACAGGTGTCAGAAACACAGGGTCCACTGAGCTCCTCTGGTGATGGGAGCAATAAATAGAGGATTTCCTCTCCGCACAGCACACGCTGAAAGGATACCGATGTACTTCTGGCATCTGAGCAGATAATTCTGATATATGCATCATTTCCTCCCTAAATCCAGGAAGCAGCTACACTCTGTATCTCATATTAGTATGTTATGTCAAATAGAAATTGGTATTAAAATTATGAATGATTCTCGATCGAGAACTTCCTACGCTCTGAGCAGAGGGAAACAGCTGCACTGAGGCTCTCGGAAAGCAGAGGAGCTGGGAAAGCGTGCTTTGCGCGCTTCAAATCTCCTGCCACGTTTCACAGGGGGTAGTGCTGCGTGGCGTTCTGATTCAGCAGACACATTCTCAAGCTCTGAAAAGGGCAAAGAGGACCTTCTGACAAAGGGAAGTGGTGAGGGGGCTTGCAGAACTCCCTCCCTTCTTTCGGATGCTCTCTGGGACGCTGCTTTTTTTCAGGCAGGGAAAATGGTGAGGCACGAGCGCGGGGACGCTCGGGGAAGAGGGGTTTGCTTTGTTTTAGGAAAAATAATTAAAATAAAGGTGGAGGATGCCGTGGGGTGGGGTGGAGGGATGTGTGCTGTGCTCGGGGCCAGCACGGGGCTGCAGGCATCTCCCGGCAGCGGTCACATGGAAGTTCTTTGTAGCTGAATGGGGACACATCGCAGGGCTGTGATGGCAGTGGACCCTGCGGCACGGCAGCACCCAGCTGCCCCAGTGCTGCACCCCGAGGGGGGCAGGAGGGCAGCCAGAGCCTAGCCAGGGGCGATTCACTGATTAATGAGTGCCGCTCAGAGCGGAGCGGCTCCGTGAGTCCTCGGCAAGCAGTCCTGCAGCAAAGGTGGGTGCTCCCCTGTCATGACTGATAGAGCCACAACTGATAGAGCTTGGTGTTAGCAGCAGCGCTGTGTGCTTCTGGTTGCTTTTCCCCTTCCCTTGGGAAGTTGGTGTGTTTTGGGCTGAAACTCACAAGCAGTCCAGCGAAGGCTGCGCTATTTCCTATTCGTAAAGAAAGATTGCAATGCGCAGTAATATGCAAAACCGGGAGAGATGCAAAGCTCCTTCCCCTCAGCTTGGGTGTGCGATAGGAATTTTCCCTTTTGCACTCAGTCTATTTCTAGGAAGGATTTTTCTTATCGCTGTTCGAACTGCTCCCCGACTCTCACCTATCTCACACCCTAACCCTGCCCTAACCCTGTCCAACAGCAGCACAAGGACCAGGAGTGGTCCCACGGGGGCCTCAGGGTTGCACTGCCTTCACCCCATCCCCATACAGAGCCCTCTAGGAGCCCTTTGAGGAGCTGAGCACCCCTGCGAATAAATCTGTGCATCAGTACAGGTTCAGCCCGGTGAGGTGGGAGAAGAATTAAAAAATAAATAAAGAACCCCTGTCTTTATGAGAGGAGATAATTCTCTGATCAGCCAATAGCAACCAGTTTACCCAGAGCTTACACATTAACCAGAAAGTGGAACTCCAATTAACCAGAGTCTGGAGCTTGAACCATTACTCAAACCCCAGTGCAACAGAAGGTCAGATGCCAAAGGGCGCTGGGGAGGGGCGCAGTGCAGCATCACTGCTGGAGACCATAGTGGTGGCATTGGTCTGACCCATAGCAGGGGAGATGCACAGCTCAGGGGGCTCAAGGCTGCACGGGGCAGGGTGGGCACTAAGCAGAGGAGCCTAATAGGTGCTTTTGTTTTGGTAGTAAAGCTGGGAAGATCAAAAGTAGGAAGCGGAGGGATAAAAAGGGGAAAAATTAAAACTGCACTGGGTTGCCGAGCCTTGATTTTGAGATAGAGCCATTGTCCCAGAGGGGCTGCAGCATTCTTTGGAGAGGCTTTAGCACTCTCCGAGGTGGGAGAGGCCCAGAACAGCCTCCTTGCAAGCTCCTGGAAAGGCTGCACTGAGTCAGCAGGGGCTGAGCAGCCTACAGAGCCTCAGTGCCCTCTGACATGGGGATGACATGGGGATGACAGAGGGAACTGAGCGCAGAGGGGCTCGGGGAGCGCACCGCTTCCAGCATGTTGACTGCTGGGGCCGACTGCAAAACTTGGAGGAAGCCCTCCTCTGAATCCTTTGGCTCACTCTGGGCTCTCTAAGGCCTGTAGCAAAAATTTGAAAAAAATGACCGAAACAAAACAAACAAACAAAAAAAAAAACACCAGGTGAACGAAAGAATGGTGTGGAACAGGGGGGGAAGCAAAGAAAGGTAAAATGAGGCATCGTGGGCCTCAATGGCAAGAAGTGCTTCTGCTCTAACGCTCTGTAGCTCTGTGACACGCCAAGCCTGATGAGCTGCCATCCCCGACCCAAGACAGGCAACGCTCTGCTGGGATGCGACGGGACGAGGATGCAAAGTGCTCCCTTTGGCTTCGCCCCGTCACCAAGCAGCCCGAATCCTGGGGGCCGTGCCAGGCTGGCGGGGCAGCCCTCCCGCTGGGGCCTCACAGCGGTGCACCCAACCGAGGTCTGCACAGCACCTGGGAGCCCACGGTTCCCATCTACCTGGTTTCTAACGGGTGGCAACGTCGCGTCCGCACAGCGCTATTCCTTTCCCATCTCCCTCCTTCCTATCACCGAGGTCAGCTCCTCAACCAGCCTCAATGCTCCGCCAGCGCTGCTCTGCCAGAGGGGACTGTGCACAACGTGCTAAGAAACGGAGCGCAGAATCGGGGGGGAAAAAAAAAAATGCAGTTTATTATTGTAGATTATTCTCTCTTTCGATATAACCATAGAGTCAAAAATGAAAGGAAAGCACATAGGAACATCACACGTGGTTAGTTAGTAACTCAAGATATAAAACAATTTTGCACAGCAAAATGTGTAAAAGAAAAAAGTAACTGACAAGATTTTTTTATATTTATTGTGGTAAGATTTACTTTCCATTTTTTTTTCTATTTTTCTTTTTTAAAAGACAGGATATCAGTCCCTGAAAATAAAATTTACTGATTATTGCCTTTAAAACTGCGGAATCTTTTTGAAGTTACAGAAAATCCAGTTCTGCACCACAATACAACTGTAAAAAAATCTGCATCATTTTAAAACTGTGCAGTAATGCCATCTTTTATAACTGCATAAATCGTATTAGCGTTCTAAACAGGTTTGTCCTTTTTTTTTTTTTTTTTTCCTTTTTTTTTTTTCTTTTTTTTTTTCTTTTTTGTATTATATGCTTGCAGGTTATATCTTAGTGCAATTCAGTCCCAAATACTTCAATTTTGAAAAAAAAAAAAAAATCCATACATTTTGAATGTAAAATACCCCTATAGATATAAACAAGGGTGCCTCCCCCCTTTAATACTTTGGTTTTCAAATACAGTCAGTGGTATAGCAAGGACTACATATACCCAACTTATAGGTAAGTTGCAAGCACATGCTGCATAAACTACTTTTTAAAACAGTCCCGTTGCAAATTCTACCCCCCTTTACATCACGACAGTAAACAATTTAGTGCATCAATCTTTAAAAAAAAAAAAATAATAATAATAGAAATCTACATCTAAACAGACCTAACTCTTTCGGATTTATCTATAACATTCCTTTATCTGTAGCATACATTTTAACTGGGCTAACAGATGACAGAAAGTAGAATTAAATTATATACCAGGAACCCAGAGCATTCCACATTTGACCATGACCAAATGTAAAAAGGAAAAAAATAATAAGAAGAAATCAAATCAAAAGATGGGGCAGATCACCTACAGTTAATTGGTTTAGACTGCTTTTAGGCAACAGCACGGTTTCAATGTCCCCCCGAGCGGGATGTGAATTTTGCATTTGAGCATCTTCCCAAAGTTCTTTCTGCGCTTTGTGTTTTTATTCATTCATTTACTTATTTTTTGCCACATCGGGTTACCAACATCCATCCTGGCATGTCTTTCTAAGAGGGAATGCTTCAGTGCATTGGAAAGGAAGTCTGAAGTTCTGAGTGACTCAAAGCAGTTTTAGAGCAGATGCAAACTTTAATGGGGAGGAGGAAGAGGAGGAAGATCAAAGGTTGCACATTTTTGCTTTCAACCCAAAAAAGTGATGAGGCAATAAAACAAAAGGATGAATGCCATGCCATAATAGTCTCCAAAAGTCCATTTCCAAGCAAAAGGAAAAAAAAAAAAAAAAAAAGAAAAAAAAATAATTATACCGTACATGACCAGCATGCAGGGTTTTTTTTGTTTTTTTTTTTTGTTTTGTTTTTTTCTTTTTTATTAATATAATGTCTCTTTCTCATAGTCTTTTGAAACAGTTACAGTTCATTGCTGCTAAGACAAAATAGCAAGCGTAATGCATGAGATGAGGATGGGATTCTAATGGCAGACTACAGTCTCACGTTTGGCAGATTAAGGCCAAAACTCACATGGACACACCGAAGGCTGATGCAGGCTGGTTGGGGCAGGTTGAGCTACACCTCTAGTTTCGCACAACAACGCTAAAAACTGATGGAACTCAGCAAGCTGGAGTCTAAAAAAAATTCACTTTTTTTTTTTTTTGTATTTTTTTTTTTTTGGTTTTTGCTTTTTTTTGTGTTTTTGTCGCTTTTTTTTTTTTTTTTTTTTTTAAACGTGTTTTCATTTATTCATTTTTCTTTTCGCAAAGCTCAAATCTCACATGAAGAACTCAGGATGGCAAAAAAAAAAATAAAATGAAACAACGTCAATATGGTCTGACTCTTTTGGACACAGCAAGCTCAAAGGAAAAAAAATACAAGTCATGAACTTAAAAATATATATATATATATGATGTGGATGGCAGGTTTCAGAGCAAGCTTCATATGAAGAACTGAGTTGGTGGCGAGTTGGGTCTTTTAAATTTAAAAAAAAAAACAAAACAAAACAGCAAGCCCCCACAATAATAATAATAATAATAATAATAAACAGAAAAGAAACTGATGTAGAACTTGAGGTTGGCCAACACGCAGCCGGCCCACCTTAAAAAAAAAAATAATAATCAACCCAAAACCCGAGTTTGTCTGAAAGCAGTTTTGAGTTGGAAAACCAAAAAGTGATACAAGGTGGCACGGCGGGTCGGCGCTCTAGCAAAGCCCCCAACAACAACTCACACGGAGAACTTTTAGGTAAGGTGGCAAGGCTGTGGGAACTCACATGAAAAACTCTGGAGAGGAGGGGTTGTCGCTGCTGGATCCGTTTTCTCGGAAGCCATTGCTGACCAGCTTCTCGTACTTTTCCTTGTAGGCGTCCCTCTCCCGGACCAGCCTGGAGATCTCCTGCTTTAGGTGCTCCACTTGCTGCAGCAGCTGGTTCTTCTCCGACTCCAGGACGTGCCGCTGCTGGACCCTCTTGAAGCGGCAGGACTGGGCATAGCCCCTGTTTTTGAGGGTCCTCCTCTTCTGCTTCAGCCGGATCACCTCTTCCTTGCTGACGCCCCGCAGCTGCCGGTTCAGCTCCCGCACCGACATGGTGACCAGCTGCTCGTCGGAGAAGCGGTCGTCGAAGTGCAGGCCGCCGCCGCCTCCTCCTCCGTGGTGCGGGTGGTGCAGCCCCCCGGCGCCTCCGCCGCCGCCGCCACCGCCTCCGGAGCCCGCGGCCGAGGAGGAGGCGGAGGAGGGCGGCGCGCTGCCCGGCGCCGCGCCGTGGGGGTGTCCGCCGCCGCCGCCGCCGCCGCCGTGGTGCGGGTGGTGGTGGTGGTGGTGGTAGTGGGGCGCGCCGCCCTGCGCCGCCGCCGCGGCGATCACCGCCGACACCACGGCGGCCGCCGAGCCCATCTCCTCGGCCGGCACCGAGCCGCCGGCGGCCGCGGCCAGCTGCTGCCCTCTAGCATAGCCATCGAAGGCGCCGGGCAGCGGGTGGTGGCTGCTGTTGATCAGCGCCTCCACCGCGTCCTCGGGGCTGAAGCCCAGCGCCTCGGGGTTGAGCTGCTGCGGGTACCCCGTCATCCAGTAGTAGTCTTCCAGGTGGGTCTTCTGGTCGGTGCCGGAGCCGGGGCTGGGCGCCGAGAAGCTGGGGGACGGGGGCACCGAGCTGCAGGGCGTGCTCATCGGGGTGGAAGAGAGCGATCCCCCGGCGATCAAGCGGCCGCACTGGCTGATAATGCGATCGGTCTCCACCGGCTCCTTTTTCACTTCAAACTTCATCAGATCGAAGTCATTAACATATTCCATGGCCAGGGGACTGGTGGGCAGGTCGGAGCCGCTCATTGCCAGTTCTGATGCCATCCTTTTGCTGCTGACAGTCCTCCAGAAAGGGTGCGCTCCGGGAGCGAGGGCGCTGCTCTGCGCTGCCGCCGGGTGAGCCAGCTTTGCTGTCCGTCCGTCCGTCCGCCCGTCCGTCCGTCCGTTCCTCCGCCGCGCCGCGCTCCGCCCGCTCCGCGTTATCCCCTGCAGAGCCTCCGCTGCCGCTGCTGCATCAGAGCGAGGGGCTCTGCGCCTTCTGCACGCACGGCTCTTTCCTCCCTTCTCTCTCTTTCTCTCTCGCAAACTGCAGCTGGAAGCGTTCGCGGGTGTTGTTGCGAGGAAATTTTTTTCCTCTCTCTCTCTCTTTTTTTTTTTTTTTGCTTTTGTTTTGTTATTTTTAACACTTCATGGTGCCTTTCCTCTGCGCTTTCTCGTGCAAAGTGCAGAGCGAGGAGAGAAGCTCATCGGGGGAAGGAGGAGGGAGAAGAGACCGAAGACAAAAAAAAAAAAAAAAAAATCAAATCAAAGTCGATATACCGCAACCAAAATAACAACAAACATAAAAAAAAAAAAAAAAAAAAGAGAGGGAAAAAAAAAAAAAAAAAACAACCAACAAACCCTCAACCCCACAGCTACGGCAAGAAGATGAAAAATATTTTAAAGGTTTCATCCAGCAGGAGAGTTTAAAAGCATTGCAGAGTTTTATAGCGCTCCTGACGTCACCCTGCAAATGGCAAATGGACTCCGCGGCCGGACCAATGGGCGGCTCCCTCCCAGCGAATATTAGCATAGAACAAGGAAACTTTTGGGAGCTGTCAATCAGGGCCCCATCAGCTGACTGTCAGCTGGGCGAGCCTTAACCCCTTCCTGCCTGCCGCCACCGCCGGACGCACCGGGTAAGCGGCTGCGGGTGGGGACCGCTCCTTCGCGTCGGAACTGCGCCCGCCGAGCGCTGCCGTCGGGTGAGCGCTCCGCTCCGCCCCGCGGTGCCCCGGAGCTGCCCCTGCCCTGGAGCGGACACCGGAGGGCACGGCGGGGCTCTGTACGGGGCAGCGCGGTGCCGGTCCGAGGGAGGGGGCGGTGGGTGCAGCCCCGCGGGGTCCGTGCTGCTCCCCGTGTTACTCGCCGTTCCCCACGCCCGAGCACGGGGCATCCATTTCTCTCCCCCAACACCCCGCCGGGTTAGCAAAGAACCCTGCAAGTTTTCAAGCCTCGCTCCCTCAGCACTCGGCCCCGTGGCGAACAAACTGCACTGACTTTCGCCTCCCTTTCCCGGTGCCCCCTCCGAGGGGGGAGGGCGCGGGGCCGGGGTCGGGGCCGGAGCCGGGGCGGCCGTGCGGGCGGAGAGCGGCAGCGCTTGGTCGGCGGCGGAGCGGCTCCGTGCGAACCCCGACAGCGCCATCTCTCGTCCGCAGCGCAGCGCCGAGCGGAGCCGCTCCGCTGTCGGCCGGGCCGGGCCGTCGGGGTAAGGAGGGGGGGGAGGGCGGGGGGTAGGCGGGGGGTTGAGCTGCGGAGGTCCTGGTGCTCCCGCAGTGCCCCTCCTGAGCTGCCAGGCTGGATTTTATGGGAATATCGATAGAATTAAAGTTCCTTGTAATTCCGTGATAAATGGGGTGTCTCTAGTAAGTAAGATGAAGTGCGGTGCTGTGAAGTTGTTTATCTGGAAAGTAATTCTCAGAAACCTGACTTCTGACACTTGGTCATATATTAAACCGGCGTCTTGAACGTTGTACTTCAGATGCTCCTTTTCCCCCTTCCCCTCGCAGTTTGCTATTTATAAGACTTTGTAGGTGCGGGTGAGTTGCTGGGTAATTTTTCACCAACTGTGAAAAGCATCGTTTGCAACAGCCAAAGAATTCTTTGCTTGGGAAATAGTACGGGGAGAGTGGGCTCACGAATAGATAACATCTCCCGACCGTGCCATTATCGGCACAAAGCCGCGCAGCTGTGCTGCTCCCGGCAGCCAAAAGGCAGGGAGGGCACGCTGCGCGGCGAGCAGGATAACGACACCTAGATGGGATCGCAGAGGCGATTCTGCAAAGCTAAAGCATGCTCTGACAGCACAAACAACAGGAGTGTAGTTCTGCACAGCCCCAAAGACACGCGGACATCTGCCGGGTTTATCTTAGAGACTGCAATTAGTGACAAACTGAACGCAGCTCGGGTTGGCTTTCCTATTCCTGCACACCATTGGAACCAGCAAAAGTTCCCAACTGACAGCATAAACCCCCCAGGACGGCCCCATTCCCCAACTCTTGTTTTTTCCAGAGTGAGGTGAAGGAGGCACTGTATGTCACTTAATGTGCTCACCTAGGAGAGGGATAAAAAGTGAAGGTTATTGCTTTTTGGAAAGCACACACGCAGTGTTCCACTTGTATGTTTGATGGATGTCTGTGGAAACACAGCTCCAGTCCCGGCGAACTGTTTGTTTGCATCCAGTTTGCAAACCAGTAGCTTTCTGAGTAAACTTGAGACAAAGAGCACAAATTTGGGTGAGCTGAGGGGGGCCTCTTCCTTCACACCGATGTGAGTGAGTGCAAGCAGAACTGTGACCTCCAGAGCAGCGCTGGAGTTATTGTACAAAATTGTTCTGCTGTGATTATTGCAGAGCTGCCGCTCCAAAACGGCACGGCGTAGCAGAAAGAAAGGATTATTTGCAATTTTTGGATAACCTTCAGAAGCAACAACGCTCTCCTCCCTCCCCTCTGTAATTCTCACTGTAGTGCTATTTTCCTTCATTATTTGGCTATTCACGATGGCTGTCTAAACATTTACAGTCCCCCTATTAACAGCGTTTCTCCCCTAACAATCGCACACTTTCATTTCAATTAGAGCCATTCAGGCTCGGGTTTTGCCACCAGGCCACGTCTCAGCCCCTCTCTCTCTCCCAGCACCGACCCAGGCAGCGCACAGCCCACATCCCCGCACCTCCTGCCCCGCTCCAGGTTAGGAGCTCAGACCACGATGCATTCTGCTTTGGGTGCGGATCAAGAACAACACATTAAGAACAGTTACCGCTCCCTTTGTTTGCCCGGTGTCTGATTTTATGGTGCAGAACTAAAGAGTGCCCACTGAATTTGACTATGGAACCGGGCAAATTGCTTTCCGAAAGACTTCTTCGGAGCACAGTGATAAGGCACAACCCGCTCCTAGGTGCAGCGCCAGATAAATCCTTTTAACAGTCCTCAGATCAGTTAACAGGGTGAGTAAATCACAGATCGCTGTTAGCAGATTTATGGGAGAGAATTAATAGAATCAGACGAGATAATCTGGCGGGGATAAAATTGCTGAGGAAACAGTCCTGCCTTCTATGGGGGGTACAGAACAGCGCTGTGATTGCGGGCAGCCAGCGCGGGTCGGGCATTCGGAGCTCAATCATCGCGGCAGCAATTTGGCATTTATTAATTCTTTTCTCTTTAAGCAACTCGCAGATGCAAATAAAAGCCGCGCTCTCTTTGAAGACACGTTCTTTATATATTTTTATTGGAGGTAATTTACTATTTGCATTACCTGTATTTACTTCATAATTGAACATTTTGCATTCAAATTTATGGAACGCGCTCCGCTCGAGAATGTATTTCTCCCCGATTAGCATAAATAGTCACTTACCTCATGAATTACTAACAAAGTTTATCTGAAAATATAGGTGTCTTTTTTATTAAGTGGAGCACCAACATATGTACCACGAATCCCAATTTGCTGGTGGTGCTGTGGTGTCGGAGAAGAGGGAACAGAAGCAGCAGCAAACAAGCGCCATCGATTAATATCTGTATGAGTGTGACAATAATTGCTTCTGCCGATGCTTTGCTAATTGTTAATAATGAGCCGACAACTCAAAGTTTCCTGCAGAAGGAGCAGAAAGAAGGGAACCTCCTCGGTGGGTTTCCCCCCTCGTTGCCCCATGCTTGCTGATGGCCGGGGCTCGCTCGGGGCTCCCTGCTCACTGTTGGGATTGTTTCTCTCTTCCCCTTAATCCTGTTTTTATGCTCAGCTGCAAATCCCAATAATGGATATGATTTAGGCCCATCCTCCTGTATTAACACGACCCTACTTAGACAAAAGACACCCGAACCTTATCGACTGCCGGATTGAATCCTTCATCCCATGGAAGCCAACAACAAAACTTCCATTGATTTCAGTGGTCCTGGCTGGCAGCAATTTGTTTGTGTCAAAGGGCCGTGGCTGCAAAAACTGAGAGCTGTCAGCCAGCAGGGAATGAGGTCTGCTCCCCACTGACTTCCCCGCATTCCCACTGACTTCTGGTGGAGCTCCATAAACCGGGTGCTGACATATACGTGTGTTTTGTCTGGGTGCAATGAGCACATCCCTAAGTGTATCACAGCAAAACGAGCTGCTTTCAGTGCTCTCACTTTTCCTGTGCCTGGGCAATCCATTCCCGTGACTGCAGCTTGCTGCCCCATCCACTGCTCTTTTATTTTAAAGCTGAGAAAATCTTCCTTTTAAACTCATGCTGAGTATCAAATTGGACTCCACTTGCAGCTGAACATCTTGGCTTCCTGTTCCCCAGCCGCTCTGGTATATTTTATGTAGAATTCTCTCTGCTAATGCAACTTGCTTTCCCTCTCTGTTCTCTTTTCAGTTTTGCATCGGTGTGGCCGAATCCATCGTTTCCACTGCTTGCTTATCGTGTTTCTGAAACACTCAAACTATCCTAAATAACTTCGTATCATCCAGAAGGAACTTCTCTCTCTGGCTGGAGGTTGGCGCCACCAGGTTTGTGCTGTGCTCACCCTATGATGCATGTCCCATTTTACTCATTTCCATGAATGGCTCGGCCTGGATGTAAAAATCAATACAGACATCCCTGATGCCAAAAACCTATTTGTCTAAAAGATATAAAAAGTGAAATTGCAATAAAGATTTTTATCAGGCTTTATGGTGGAATTCGTCATTTATAACTGGGATGATGATGTTGGGTTATATAATGTGTTTGTTCTCAAATTAGCTGAAGTGAGCAAAGAGAGGTAATCTGGTAAAATCTGGTGCACAGGTTGAACACTGCAGAAAAGTACAATTAATTAAAGGAGGAGAAGAAAAAAATTACATCAATATCACATCACTGAGCTGTCCCAGCAAAGCCCTGTGATACACACACGGCATTTCTATCTACTTTAGCTCCAAAAAATCCTCGCTGCTTCTCTCCCTTCTGCTCTGCATTGAGTTGTTTCAGCAGCAAGGAGCAGTGGCAGCATGAAATAATGTGAATTTTATGTGCTCTCTCTTCCTCAAAGCTGACTACCAGTGAGTGGCGAGGGGGGCACGATACGGAGGTGATGTTTTGACGTGTGACTGTGAAGGGTGAGACGGCCATTATTAAGAGTGATTGACTTCAGTAACTTTTAAGCAAAGCTGTGATTTAATGTCTTAAAGCCCGAGATGGCACAGACTTGTTATTAGTTGACATGGTGGGCTGAGTGCCATGCTCTGGGCTTATCCCATGTGAGTAAAGCATAGAAATGTGTGCAGTAAGCGATGGGGTCTTCAGCAGCACAAGCCTCTTGGCTTGCATGGCCTTATGGCAGAAA